CTAGCGGCACCAGTGGGATGAATGCAGCCTCCAAATGCCCCTCGCGCGAATCTGAGACACAGAACTTCAATGACTCTGTGAGTTCTCCACCTAGCATGTCAACACGTGCTTGGGAGAAATCAAAAGCAGACACCGCTCCATCACACCCGCAAGCTTCAGACGTTTCTCCACATGCTCACAGCACACCTTCTCCGACTCCGAACCACGAAAGCAAAGCCGTTCCTCGACGTCCTAGTCCCGCACCTGATCATGCTGCAGCGAGACCCTCAAGTGGGGTTGGGGGTCCCGCTGACGCTCGCTCTCAACCATGCCCACCATCAAGTAGTACTCCAGACGCATCTCGAGTCAATGGTAACGTGCCAGATACTTTGAGTAACAACGGTCGTGTTGTCCAGACGCGGAGAGTAATCTCTCCCCTTCCCCGGCAGCGCCACATAACGACACGTGCTCCTCAATCTGCTGTATGTTCGATCCCCAGCTCAAAGAGCACAGTCGCTAGAGATCCGCCGGGACATGAACGCTCACCTTCACGAGCTGCCAATTCTCCATTTTCAACCCCTGCTGCCACCCTCACACCCGCTTCTACTTCTGTTCCAGCGAATGCAGCTGGGGCAACTTCTCCATCCGTACCTGCTGCAGCACCTTCTGGGACCATCTCTTCTCACAACAAGGATACATCGTCAACATCCCCCTCCACCTCCACTCAAGGATCATCTTCTCCTGCCCCGCAACGTGCTGCGTCAGGCAGCACTGCATCCACTGCTGCTCAGGCCGCCGCTCCCAAGGCGACCACGCAGACATCTAAGCCCGTCTCACCCCCAAATGCGCCAACTTCTCAACAGCAAGCCGCTCTCGTACTTAGCCAATCGGGGATGTCGACCACGGGTCGGGCCACCGTAGGTCCCGTCCCTCGGTCCACGACAGCCTCCCCCGAACGACTGGCACCAACGTCTCAACGATCCACACTGAGCCCGAGTTCACCGTCGACGAGGCCCGCATCTCCCTCAAGTGCGGATCATTCAGCTTCGTCCTCGACACAACCCGCATCCACAGCTGATGCCTCTGATCAAGCGTCCACGGCGACGGCGGCGGGAGACGACGCAGATATAGAAACAGAGCGTCGCATCGGCGGGACGCCGATCATCCCGCTGGGCAAGCCTGGCGGCGAAGCGTGAGTGTGTTGTGTTCACTGAGCTTTGCCATGCTGACCAACTCGCGTGTTCGCAGGTCGGAGTTGAACGGGTGGCACGAAGTCATCCACCTTGACGGCAGCTTGTACTACTGGCACCAGGATCTTCGGATCGTGACGACTGACAACATCAAGGAGTCCGGGCGTCCCTCCGCGATCATCAAGCACGCTGCCGACTTGAAGGCCGAGCTTGACCAGGCTGGAGCGAAGTCGAAAGGCATCGTACGTGGCCAGGAGGATGTCGTCGTCTGCGGCGTAGACGGGAAACCGGGGTCTGAGCCAGAAGCACTTCTGCTGGACCACCGGCGAGGGTGGTACATTGAGCGCGTTTGGTGTACAGCAACCGACAGCGCGGGTGTTCAGAGTAGGACACCAGAGGTAGCGTACGAACAGCGGACGGAGCAGTATTGGAGGATGCTGGAGCGGTTCCCGATGCATCTAACGAGCTTGCCCACGGAGGTGGAGGCAGAATTCTTTGGTGCTCTTGTGTTTGGGTCAAGTGGTAGGCGCTGTCTTATTTTGAGTAGGAGGTAATGTATGCTGACCGGTGCTGACAGAAAGAATCCTGGATTGGCGCGAGACGGCATTTCCCTTCAGTGATCACCAGGCGGAGCGACTCATCCAGGTGTACATGGACCTGAAAGGTATGTTCACCGGTGAGAGTGTAAGTTGTATACACCAGTCTGACGTGGAAGCCTTAGACGCAGCCGAGAGCAAGTATCCTGTCGTTCCCGCGATGGGATGGCACATCGCGCGGACGATGGTGCGCATCGAGGCAAGTCGCACAAAGCACAAGCACGGTACGCATGAAAGTAAGCTGTATCGCGACGGGGCAATCGACGCTCCAGGGTGGCAAGTCAAAGTTTTGGACTTGCTCGTGGTACTCCTACTGCTGGGTATGCAGCGAATGTATCGGTTGCGATTGCAGAGCGCACGGGTGAAAGGAGTTGTGAACGCCGACGCGTTGCGGGAGCTGTTTGAGCACTTTTTGGACGAGTGGGCAGGTGAGCCCATACGAGCGACCCTGATTATACAGCTTGCTGACGATTTTCTGTTAGATTCAAATCTTTTGGTCAGTCTTTTTTCTTCTTCGTGAAATCTCAATTGCTAACAGTTTGGCTCACCTCAAGGCCACTGTTTTCATCGGGTAAGCGTTGCTGGTTATCTTAAATCCATTGAATCTGACGTCCGGATATAGAGCGAATATCGGTTTCTTAGCTGTATCGGTCAGTAAAGAAAGAATATGGATTAGCAGACCTATACTTACTGGTATATGCAGGGGATCGATAGTTTGCAGCAAACAGCTCTCCTCGTGTCGACTGTGTTCTCGACAATGAGTGTTGTCGCCGGAGTCCATCACACTTGGCAGCACAGGACCAAGGTAGACGCTAGTCCTGAAGAAGCAGTGAGTCGATCCTCGCGCACTCTATGTATGCGCTCCTAACATCTCTCCAGAGCCATTACTTGACGCACGCCAGCCGACTTGGACGCGAAGTCGACCTCGCTGTCATGGCCTGTTTTCTCGCCCTTCCAGTGTCTTCGCTGCTCTGGGCAATCATCGCATTTGCGGTTGCGCTCGGTGCCTTCTGCATCCAGAATACCGATATTCAGGGGAAAATTCTGCTATCCGTATCGCTCGGACTCCTTGGGCTGTTGTGTATGGCGACGCTATTCTTCTTCTGGCATATCTGGCGCGGACCGCGACGGGAAGAGCTGAGTGAGGAGGATGCGGGTGAGATCATAAGTCGAGGGTGGAAGGCGGCATTCAAACGACAAGGGCGAGAGATCAGGATGATCTTTGGCAAAAGTCATAAGAAAAATGGCTTAGAGAGCGTATGATTTGTGGACGATCATTGATGTTAAGCCGCTGTTACCAGTACGAATTTACGACATGCACTCACGACGTTGCGAGGATATAATTTATACAGTATTATTTGAGCATCTCAAAGGCACAATGGCGCAGCGGGAAGCAACAGGTGGGAGAACTTTCGAGTTCGTATGGTAGCAACTGGCAGAACTATGCCCGCGCTTGACGCTCGATCCTCGGCATTTCCCGGACTTGTGGCGAAGTCCTGCCAGCGATTTGAAGGTTCAAGTTGAACGTGAACCCTAATACTAGTGTAGGTTTTATGTCTCCCAGATACTATTCGTACTTTTGGCCTTCGCGAGCACGTTAGTTTTATTACAATGACATGTTTTAGTTGACTCATCCACTGATCAATATTAGGTCTGTCTGAGGTCTACCAGCCGTGGTCGCTAACGAAATGTTCGCTTGATATGGTCCAGGGTCCCCTGACGTAGGCACATCCTTTTGTTGTCATAAAGAAAGCCAATTTGTTGCGAGAAATGTTCAGGGAAATGTAGGGAAAATAAAAGGCAAACTGGGGGTTACATGCCGTCGTGGCTGACCACGGAACGCACTATCAGACTGCGCCTCTCGGAAGGGATATCACATATCTATTCAATATCTGCGCGATAACACCACACGCTTGAAATTTCACGGAAACCGAAATATTTGTCTCATTTGAACTCTAGGTACACCAAAATATCTCTCTACCTCGTGCGCTTACCTTCAACTCCACAATGCAGCTCTTCCCGTCATGGACAATCAGTGGAAAAAGAACATCCTGATAAGGGGTAAGACAATCTCATCTTACGACATTAATGCCCTTCACATACGCTCATAATCCATGTTTTGCGGTCTGTAGATGTCGCAGGCACTCATTACGCAAGTTAAAATAGCTTTGGCTGTCCTGCCAATCACCAAGCCGTGTAAAAAAAAAACCAGCATAGTAGAGATAAAGCGTAGATTGGTCTCACTATTCGACCATTTGTTCGGAGAAAATGTAGCGAGTAAGTCAGTCCACGGACTTATTTAGGAGCCTTGATGCTTTATTGATGGCATTAGTATAGAAGTCAGCGGCAACTCATTCCAGAAAACGTAAGTATGCGCTAGAGCACGTTAAGATCCAATAATTTCAGTGGTCGCATGGTGTGGGAACAAGTAAAGTCTGGCTGTTCAGTCCCTCAATATCGTTTTCCTCCGGAGGCATTGGGGTCATCATTGCGTAGTGACTGTTGAATGCAAGGGCTAGATTCATTCTACGATGAGCGGGCGCTCCGAGCCTCCCCAAGTTGTTTGCGGCTTACCAATAGCATCGAGCAGTCAGGTGAAGGTCTCACTCATCTTCACGGATCGATCTTTCAACTGGTACACTCACGCAATGGGGATGTGCTTATGGCGCCTGGCCAGCTTTCGGGGTCCTGGCTGCGCTTAACCAGTGTTGGCGTGCTTTCTATATCCCGTTATGGTTCCTCAGTATTGATGCTCCACTCCGCAGCTTCATAAAATGACTAATGCGAATGTTCCGTCTTAAACGCCCGCTGTCATCGTCGTTCGCTCTCCGACGATGTTGTCTATTTCATGTTCTGATTGCTTCTCGACAGCATCTTATGAAATGGTTCGTAAGCGTAGTCTTCTTGGAAAGCTGACATATCACTCACGTTGTCCAAGATCACTACAAGGCTAATTGAGGCACTTAAGAGGCATACAAACGGGGCCAGCACGCTAAATTTACTTCGTCGCGGATTCTACTTACGCTTCGCAGCCAAAAGTGATGTCTCGTGGAAAGCAATTTACTCTGTGCTCCTTCGTTCATGGGACGAATGGCTGGTGCGTAGTATCTGTTTATTCTTTTTACCATGCCGTGTGTTAAGCTTGTGTACAGGAAGGTTGCATTTGTCCTGGAAGAGCTTGCTCTTGAGTACGAGACGATTTACCTAGATCAGCCTGAGAACAAGCCATTGATCCCTCAGTATGTGCCGAAGTGCAATCCTAACGCCCGTTTTCCCATCTTGATCGACCACGAAAATAATGACTTCGTCGTTTGGTAGTTTATTTATTGTGGGTTGAATCTCAGCCCAGAACTTACAAAGTAGACACAGGGAATCCAACGCCATCATTACCTACCTGGTCCAGAAGTATGACACGTCTCTCAAGATATCCGTCGACGACCCAAAAGAGAAGATCATCCAGCTCCAGTGGCTACTCTTTCAAGCGTCCGGACAAGGGTTCGTCTCAGACACTCTATCCCCTTTCCAAAAACGTCAGCTGATGTTCGCAGGCCCTCCTTTGGACAGGCGGCGTGGTTCAAGTCGTCTCATCCCGAGACACTCCCCAGTGCCATCGAAAGATACATGAAAGAGACCCTGCGTATTTTTGGCGTTTTGGAGACCGTCCTTTCGAGGCAGGAGTGGCTTGTAGGCGGAAAGTACACGGTAGCGGACATCTCATTCATTCCGTACGTTATTGTTTTGAACTGAAGCTCGAGCCTGCTGACAACATCCAGTTGGAATGAATACGCGCTGCGAGGCTTCCTCGCTGATCATGACGGGTTCAACTTCGAGAAGGACTTTCCTTCCGTCTACAAGTGAATTCCCTCTAGTTAACTACCGACGCATAAAAGCTGAACGTCTCGCAGATGGTACCAGGCTATGCTCGCGCGGCCATCTATAGCTGAAGTTATCGCTGTCAAAGAGTCCATGATGACGAAGTAGAACGTGTACTTTCAATAGTCACTTTGTTCGTTCGGAGGGGAGGGAGGATATCAGATTGTCTCAGATTGATACCGGTGAGAAATCTAGATTATGATATATCTAAAAAGTCATTGATGCTATAATTATGCTACATAATGGTCGTTTACAATTCGTCCCCATTCGACGTTGTCAATAACGGACTGTTTTGCAACCGTACACTGCGAAAAAGTACGAATCAGGAAACACCACGTCAGAAAACTGTCGAATGTTGTCGACTTGAATCTAGCGTGACATGATAAAACATATCATCAGTCTGAACCAGTCAAGAGACATAGTTTGACCCCAAGGATGAGAGTCGCCTTCAAGATGAGCTGAAGGCTTGAAAACTCACCAGAGGCGGTCCTACCTGCTCTCATGACGGGGCGGGTGCTCGTGTGAGGATTCCCACGTGTAGGATTGCTTCCGGAGATGGAATCTGACGGACCCCAAAACTGCTCAATCGATCAACGATCACGGGCGCTTCTGAGGTAATAGCCGCGCGACACGCGTCGAACGAGTCTGCAACTCTGACATATCTCGTCGATATATAAAAGGAAGATATATCGTAGCTCATAGAGTTTATCCCGAAGTTATCCAGTAAATCCACTGATGAAACGTCATATTCCTCATTCTCCTGAAGAGACTGGCTCGTTTTTCCCCGAACAATTACTGAACCATCAGGGCAGCCGCCGTATCGAAGATCGTGTCGAGCGATCAAAGTCACAGCTTATTTTCGCGAACGCATACATTTTATAACAATACTGTCTCGACGCTTATACCTCGTCCCAGAGTTCATACATTCATCAACCGAAATAATTTGACGCTGTTCCTACTGCCTCTAGTCAGAAGCCAACAAAGCCTCTCTTACTGCAAGCGCCTTAGCCACGGCCTCCCTGGAAAGAATGGCATTGTGCCACCTTGTGGTCCCGGTCAGCTCGTCGTATATTATATACCTTAGTTGTCAGCACTCACTTGTAGACCGCAGGGAAGTCCTTCTCGAAATTGAAGCCGTTGAAGTCAGCGACGAAGAGTTTCACTGCCATGTTGTTCCATCTGGGATTTTTTCAGCTGATATCCACGACGGCGGCCAGAAGACGACTTACACAACAAACGAGAGATCCGCAATGGTGTACTTTCCGCTGACAAGCCACTCTTGCTTCGTTAAGACGCTCTCGAGCACGCCAAGAACACGAATTATCTCCTTCTGGTACCTTTCGAGTGCGCTGGGGAGCTTCTCGTGGTGGAACAATTTGAACCATCCGGCCTGGCCAAAGTACGGGCTAGAAAAACGTGGCATCAACATGAATGTAAGCAGTCATTCGTGTGGTGCGAACCCTTGTCCGGAGGCCTGGAAAAAGAGCCACTGGAGCTGAGTTATCCTCTCATTCTCACTGGCTGCGGAAATCTTGCGGCTCGTGTCGTACTTTTCGACGAGATAAATGATGATCGCGTTGGACTCCCTAGAACCACCACAGTGAACTCTGCAATTTCCAATATAATAAAGGGCAAATATACCACACGACGAGGTCATTGTTGCCGTGATCTATCAAAGTAGGAATGCGCCCATTGGGGTTGTACTTCACGTGCCCGGGAGCCTTCTGCTCCTTATTATTGAAGTCGAGATAAATCGTCTCGTACGTGAGACCGAGCTCGTTAAGCACGAAGGCTACCTTCCTGCAAGCGATGCTCAGCCCAAAGTATAAAACGTGCATGAAACATTTCTTACCAGCCGTTCGTGCCAAAAACATGAGAGTACAGAGTAAATTGCTTTCCGTGAGACATTTTGTGCGTAGATGAGAGTTTAAGGGTGAGACGTGTTGACGAACTATGGCTCCTCCAACTGGGTCACCTCTTTATATATCGATATATCGAAAGCTGGAGGTTAATACGCTGTTCAGTCATTTTGTCAGCAAGTCATGTGAAGGACTTCACCGAAATTTAGTTACAAAGCAGCTGTTTCCCGTCCTTTCAGAACCCACGGCACGCTGTCATCAGAACGCTCAGTCACATTGGGGAAAACACGTAAGATATCGGCTTCTTCATGGCAACGAAGACATCTATCGCGCTCCACAAATAATATGGTGATCCAGTGTGTTGGCCAGGCCGCGTTTGTCCGGGTCTTTGCCGTGCCATTCGGTCAATAAAAAAAGATGATGATTTTAACTGAATGAAAACATATAGTCTCGGTCAATCACTCACCGTCGTACCCATGCGCCGCCAAGGTCTAATTAAGTGTTGCTTCCCTATGAAAAGCTTCGTGGCTAATATATGGACAAGACAAAGACAGGCTCTCAGCGATACCCGATGTTCCAAAGGATTGAATTACGCTCTGCTACCAAAAATAATCCTTGTCAGTATGATTCTCGACTTCACGAAGGACTATGAGCTTCGCTACAGTGACCGCATGACCTGCCTGAGCATAAGCGCAATCAATCTCTGTCAGCGCCATATAGAAACGCTAGCATGCATGCGGAGGGACTCGGAGTCCCAGCTGAGGGCTGCCTACGCGGGACGGGCAACTTCGAAATTTTTTCATGGGGCAGGGAACTTATAACTCGATCTAGCTGGTTCGGCGTCCAGAAAACACCTTTCAGAGACATTCACCATTCTCGCTAGAAGGTTCAAGAGCGCACATACCTCTAGGGTTCGAGGCACAGTTTCACATCCTCAACCACCTGAGCAAATTCTGAGACGTAAGCTTTACGAGATTGCGTGAGCTACAATGTAGGCGAAAGATACGTGCCCTGGCACACGGAATTCGAATCAGAGACCGACAGAGTGAGATGACATTCTTCTTCTCTTTCCTGCTAGAAATGTTCCTCGGCCAAGGAAATTGCCACATTCGGCATCGCGTCTGACGTGTCATTTACTCTAGAGCGTGGAAAGATACAAAAATAAGCATGATACTCAATATTTCCAGGTCGTGAATCGAGCAAATATGTAATGATTCTATTTGTCTGGTTCATCCGACACGGGTCAAGACGGCAGAGACACCTATTTAGCGGAGATAAAGAGAAGGGTGTTGCGGGTCCATCAAGTAAACGGCGGACGTATTCTGATGCATTCCAAAACAGTGCTATTCATACGGCCTGAAGATGAGACGTGATGTACAATTCCAGGATGGCTAGTCCACACTCACCCACCGGACGTGTGTGCATAAATTATTGGTATGTGCGGTCACAACCAGAATACAAGTATCATACACATCGAACAGAAACAACTGTAGTAAGTAGATTCTTATGCTCATAGGTGGTAACCCAATGGTTCGAGCCCAGTGGGCGCCTTGGGCCATCGGCACCGGCACCCAACCGGCACCATCGGCATTTCCCGCGGTGCCACCGACGCAAACTTAAGTTAGCAACTTCCACTTTCTCCATTCCACGAGTTATGGTCAGCGCGTGGTCATCGTGGAAGTGCTGAACTTTACCTCGAACCTGTTGTAATTTCCCCCTCTAATTCATCTTGTTTAAATCCCCACAATGTGCTCAACATCTTCAGAGATTCATTCTTGTCACAAGCCCGAGATGACCAACTAACAAAGTTGTTAAAACTCCTCGGATGCTGGTAGATTCCGGTTAAGAACCTTGACGCCTTAATTCTATTCTCATCCGCCCCTTGCCAATCGGCAATTATTCTGCTTTTCGGGTTTACGCTTTGGCTCCCCTCCTCGGACAACTCATTCGTTCTAACGCTTTGCGGCTGCTCGTCCGATTGACAAGAAATATCCCGAGGTAGAGTATCGGTCAGTACATCGATATAATCAACCCTACATAGACGGTACATACTGACGGCAATACAGACGACCACCAAAGTCAGCAAACGAGCCTCAGACGTGATAGGTGTTATTACATGGAAAACATCGCGGACGATCAGACTAGCCCTGCAAGGCAGATCTCATACGACTTGCAGCGTTCAATATAGGGTACAAATTCCGTGCCAAGGATAAACGAAGATGTTCTGTGGAACCTGCCATCCTCATGTTCCTCGACGAGAATTGCTCTATGCGGATGAGGATCGACAAAGCATCCAAAAACAGCAGAAGTATAATGTGTGAGAGTGCCGATGAAGGCGATGAAAGACCGACGGGTTTGTTGGTAAGTTTCTTCATCACCAATGTGTATCTTCCAGATGGTGCCATTAGTTGCGATGACCTGCAGTTTCCCGGTGGCGTCATGCATAGTCTTTTCATCATTTTCTATGCGGCCAGATTCTTGGCGGCCTGCAGGTATCAGGAGAGCTGCAGGGCTGGAGAATGTGAAGCATCCCTTCTCGTCCATTTTTCCTAATGGAATGCCGTCCACCCACCCAAACCCAACCCATGGCAAGATCTCCGCCACAGGTCTCTCCCCTTCTTCGGTGACCAGTGTCGCGTTTCCTATCGGGTTGACGCGAGGAAGCGCTGGAAGCGCTGAAACCCCTTTCTCCGGAGGAAGATCGAGGGCGGCAGCGAGCCAGTCTGCCCTTCCTCCATTCCTTAATATCTCCGCAGCTAGGGCGATAGTTGCACCTCGCCTGTCATCCGGTTTGAAACGGAGTGGATCGAGGCTTACTCCGAACAGACCCATGATGCTGAACACGGCATCAACGGGATAGGTGCATGTGCGCATCAGTGAGCATTGCCATACGGCCTGTACGCTACCTGCATTCTCCAGCCCCCCATTGTCCAATACAGCAAGAAGCGTGCTGACATACGACTTCTCTCGGCCAAATAGCGTTGTCGAGAAAAACTTGAAGGTTTTACGTTCTGTCTTCAACTCATAGATATTTCCGCTGTGTGTCGAGAGAGCGTCCTGAAGGGGACATGCAGCTGATTGACCCGGAACGACTTCTTTGTAGTTGAATTGCGCACTAGTAGATGCGATGGATAGGGCTTCCCCATATGTCCAAGCAAACAAGACCATCACATTCGACATTTTCGGTGCTAGAACCTCCTGGAGGGTCCATGACCGCTGGATCCACGTCGTTTCTTCATCTACCTGCGCTAGCCGCCGCATTCCACCAGGGAGAACAATGCACAGGGCCGAAGATTGGTAGATGTGGTACATTCTGCGAATTTGCCAGGCTTTGTCGTTGTCATTGCTTTGTAAGATGCAGAGACCATCCAACCAGATAAACTTCGCTTCCTTCTGGGCTGCAGCGGTGCACGCGTGTCTGAGGACATCGATACTCATCGGGTCGCCATTTGTAGCACCTCTGATGGTGAATGTGCCGTATTTTTCACCGCTGGTATGGTTCGAGTCAACCCCGAGTCCTCTCCAAACGTAAGATATGGTCGCGTATTCGCGAGCGGGGAGATCTTGGAATTCATGGATCGCGAGGGTGTCGTGATCGAGGAATTGAGCGCAATCGATCAGTCGATATTTGCACGGTGTGGCGGAAACGGTGATATCTACTGTAGTATTTTGGAGTGCACTGAGGGAAGCAGAATAGACTACAGCAGAGTCGTGCATTCTTCAAGACAATCTTAGATTGAAAGGAATTATTACGATTGGTGTGAGGACTCAAGATCAAGACCGGCCAAGGGCCGACTGTCAGTCAGATAGCGGCGAAAATATATAGATGCTTTCAACATATTTGTTGCATCGCATCAAGGTAAGCTTGGGTGGCTCAGTTGGTTAGAGCGCAGGTCTCATACGAGAGTATGACATTCAAATGTTGGATGGCCATCCTGAGGTCATGAGTTCGATCCTCATCCCGAGCATTCTTTTATATTTTTCATCTTCCCTGATGTTGGGAACCATTCGTGTGGTGATTCAGATGTTTGACGAGCAGTTTTTTCAATCAACATTGGCGGAATGTTTCGCCTCTAGCAGCGAGGCGCGAAATCCTATCACTGTGGGAATTGCTCACGTGCGTTGGCCACCTCAGCGCTAAGCGGGCTGAGCGGTGACTACTTGCCAAATTCGAAGTCAAATTTTGTCCAGCTCATGTCTAGAATGACTATATGCAGCGCATAAACAACGTTCAGAACCTGCCGGGGCACACACACATTTTTTCGCGTCCAATTGCTGATAGGGAACTGCATCCTTGGTTTTCTGGGCACGATCCGAGTGCTACCTGAACAGCGTTTCTCGGGCATGTCATTACATATATACCCTACATACAGTCTTGCGTCGGCGAGCATACCGCCAATTCCCTCGCTCAGCAGTCATGACCGCCCTTCTGTGGGAGCCGCAGTACATCCAGTGCTAAGTCAAGCAAGGCATGAGATGTCATCGCCAGCGCAAGCATATCGTGCGTATGAAAGGATGAGTTGAGCTCTTTCAGAACTTTAGCACCGCGCTCGTCAATAAGGAGAGCAGGATTCATCTTACGTGAGGGTAGGTAATGGGGGATCGATGGCGGCGGTGCTACTTTGAGTATATAATCGAACGTGTCGCACCGTAATATAAGATTCCATGAATGAACCTCGCTTCATCAATCAGCATGCAGCAGACCAGACTTACAATCAGGCCAAAGACACTGGTACTACGAGGAACGTTCCCAGTAGGTCAGGCCCGATACGAAAGATGCGAGCAAGCCCCACAGATACCCCTTGAACAGACACGGCAATGATTCATGCGAACACCGACCGTATCATTTTAGCGTCGCTGTCATATTCAGCCACCAACATGCCATACAATTCGCACCGTATAACTGTCTGTTGCATCCACATCTACAAGACCGTATCAATATACGTGCTTCAATAGTCTCCGCATTCGCACCCATATGCCGCTCGCGTCTTTCTGCATCTCCGCGTCTCGCTTGTCCTGCTCTCGGACCAATCTCCCTTCTCCTGGTTTCCAAACAGCATCTGTATCCAGATCTACCTCTTGCAATGGAATGAGATGTACGCTATTCTTCAGAAGCACGATCTCATAGACCGAATGGCCTATATAGAGCAAAACGTACACCGCGACACCAATGTAGGTCGCGACAACATTCTAGGAAAGATGCTGTCATCAGTTATCTGACCCCGTCGTGGTATGGATAACGCACCCGCCAGTCAAATGGCTGGTCAACAACAGCCGAATATCCTTGCGCGGCAAACATCAAGACAGCAAGCGTGATTGTCACGATCGGTAAGAGAGGGAATAAAGGCTGGCAGTACGCCAGATCTTCAAGGGCGCGACCTTGCGCCTTCCATGCCCAACGGAACCGTAAAGATATAATTCCGACGGATCCCCAAGTCAAAAGCGCAGAGATTCCTGTCAAATTCAACAACCATGTGAAGACAACTCCTTCGCCCCAGATTGTAGTGAGGAACGTTAAAAAGGAGACGGCGAGGGCCGTTCTACGAAAACAGGTGAGTCCTATCAAGGTGCTACAACTACAGGACTTCTTACATGAGGGCGGGTACAGGCACGCCTCTCCGATTGACCCATCCAAATATCGGCGGAGCTTGGCCACTGCGAGCGAGAGATAGAAGCATGCGCGAGCTCGCATAGAAGCACGAGTTGGTAGCGGAGAGCACGGCTGTAAGCAGAACAGCATTCACAAGATTCACCGCCGCGCCAAACCCAGCGCGCTGGAAGACGACCGTGACAGGGGACGCGGCAACGTCAGAGTCTAGAGATGTATAATATTGAAGTCAGTACAATCAGGAGCAGATTGATGCCTTTTTACCATATGCGGCACTCAGAAGGCTAGGGTCATTCCAGTTAATGCAAACGCCAATGGTTAACATGGTGAGGATATAGAAGAGGAGAATCCGGAAGAACGTAGCGCGGACGGCACGGGGGACGCTCTTGTGGGGCTTTGTCGATTCACCCGCCGCGAGGGAAACGAGTTCAACGCCGCCATACGAGTAGAATGCGTATGCAAAAGTCTGCGCGAAATCGGAAAAGCCGCCTATGAACGCCTGCCCATTGTGGAAGTTTGACAGACCCTATCGGAATGAATAAGTGGTATTGTCATGATGTCAACTATCAGCCATACTGGACCAGGATGGTGTCGGACGCCTCCCCAGTCGTAGATCAAGCCGACAATTATGAAGAGAACGATCAAGAGAACTTTGATCATGGCGAACCAGTACTCGGATTCGCCTGATGAGTGCAATTCAGATCAACATCAGCGATTGCTGAGGGAAAAGACCCACCATAAACTCGAACATGAATGAGTTGCATGATGAAGACTGGTGCGATAATAACAAGGGCCCATTGCCAAGCTTGAATTCGCGCGTCCCAATACTATCAAGAAGAGAGTGTAGGTTCCTCTGTTTTATATAAAGCATAGTGAACGTACCTGAAGAATCACTGCTGCTGCCGTTAGCTCGCTCGCTGTTGAGCACATATCGGCATCCATGAACAATAATAGATACGTGATAGTTTTACGCACGAATTGAAAGACTCCTGAAAATAGAGATTGAATGAAGGTTTTTGCATAGACTGCTCAAATTGCAACTCACCACTGCAGCCAATAATTCCAGCCTACAAGTGAGCAGCAATTATTGAGTATGGTCATGAAGCATGTTGAAGCCGATGATGGCGTACCTAGTGTGAATCCAAGAGCAGGAGAGACAAAGCGTGAACCAAAAACTGCGAAGCTGCCAGATACGGGAATATATGAGGCCATCTCGCCTCTGTCAGTCGACAAAGTGAGATCATGTTATCTCGAAAGCATCAGAATTTTCTTACAGTGAAATGACGACTCCATAACAGAAAATGCCAACAATGAAATATGAAATCAGGGCACTACCAGGCCCAGCAGTAGCCACAGCCTATTCGACACAAGTCACAGTTGGCGTGCGGAGTATCTCAAAATGCAGGAATCATACAGAGCCAGCACTCAGAAAGATGCCCGTCCCAATCGTCCCGCCAATCGCTAATGAGAAAGAGCATAAGTGGTTTGCCCACGGACCACAAGGGTAGCAAACGCACCTATCATCATCAAGTGACGAGGCCCCATTCCCCTCTGTGTAGTGTGCGTCCCATCGGCATTCCCAGTAAAGAATCGTTTCCAAGCTGCGAATGGTGACGGCGACTCCAGACTCCCTGCAGCAGACACCTCAGAGCCCGACTCTTCGATTTTGTCCTCTATATCGCCATCGCCTGTGATGTCTTCTTTGGAGAACACAGCGCCAGATTGGGTCAGGGTTTGAACGGCGATTTGACGGTCAGCCATTCTTACGACTGAGGATGCCACTGGGTTGCAAGAAAGGCCCTGTCAGTAGACCACGCTAGTACACCCCGTTCAGGTGATGTCGATGGCAGCGGAGGAGAATTTCCGACACATGCTAAAATACCATATGGTGATGGTGCAATCCATGATAATGCTATCAGACGAGGGACAGGCGCGAACCGAAAGTTGTCCGCGTACTTGACTTGCGATGCCAGGAGAGTGCCAAAACAGAGAATTATCAACGATCACCCACGCTTGTCGTGGAAACGAGTCGGAAATAAAATAATGAGAGCAGGATTTGTTTTCGCCATCTAGCAAGTTCAATCGAAAGGCGCGATGGACTCCGAGCGACCACATGGGCGCCAGTTACACGCGTGCTGCCAATCATCATCGTAGCCCGAGTTGCGTTGATTTAGTGAAAAAGGCATCTCGCACGAAAATTTCTCCATGACCTCTTCAAGCCATCACAGAGTCGAATCCGACAGTAAGGAAAACAAGTTGAAAGGGGAGACGAGCTCAGAAATCTGTTCACCAGTAGCATTTATCGCACAGACGCAGGCCCGCAGATGCTGGTACATATGCATAGTCGGTGGTCTATAGCTGATCATCTACCCACAGGTAAAACGGATGCTCTATCGTGAGTTTGGCGGTGTTGTACTAGTAAATTGGCTGGGATCGTTGAACCACAGACAGTATGCACTTTGGGTTTGTCGTCCAGTTTCGAGTTAATTTTCAAGATATCTTTGAGCTCAAACCCGTCGTCGCTTGATTCACATAGTCGAAGCGACGGGAACTAGATGGCGCGCTCATAGGATAGTCCAATTCCCCTGTACATTTTCAGCTTCACATCAGTGTCAACACTTCTCATTGGGATACCGAGATCTATCTTTGAGGTCAAACTACACTTGCAACTAACTTCACAAAACGCTCGGGCTCTTCCCAATGTACCTAGATGTTCATCGACACACTTCGTGAACAAGAAACCACGAATAATCATCGAACCACTCACAAAATGATTCGCCCCGTCGATCCTGACCACATCCACAGTACGCCCGATCTTCCCTGCTTTGCGCGCCTCCTCATATTGCCGCCTAAGCAGCTCCACCGCCCACACGACATGACCCACGTCCCTGCTGGGCAAGAGGACGCACACCCGTACCCTCGGCCAGATAGGCTCAGATGCGCCGGGGCTCGCACTGCCCTCTCCGCAACAGTCGTAAAGTGCGCGGCGGGCAATGTCCTGGTGCAGCGTGAGGTCGATGAACCCGAGCGGGACGTGCGTCTGGGGCCTCTCGCGCCTGTCCACGACGTTCTCGAGCTCCTCGGGCGACATGCGCTCGTAAGTTGGCATGATGTCCAGCTTCTTACGCGCAACCAAGGCTGCCTCAAAAGCTTCTGCATCTGGTGTGAGCTCTGTATCGGTGTAGTGCGCGCAGACGCAAGGGAAGAAGGCGGCTAATTGCTCAGCAGGTGCGAGTGTTTCGTCGCCGAAGGGGTTGTAGACGCCTGGGTGGGTTTGAGCACCGATTACGCCGGGGCTTGGGGCTGAAGCAATGTTACCGTTCTTTGGCATAACACGGCGAAGCAAACAATGTACACACCATACATGATGAAAGCGCGGAGGTGGGCTTCCAGGAGCAACCTCACTTTCTCGGACGCCTTGTCCGCATGCGCAAGCAAAGAGAGCGACTGCATGTTTCCAGCAGACCAAGCGAGAAAAGCGACTCCGCCGGAGAGGCTCCCATCTTCATTTGCGGCGATCGGCGGAGTGTTGTGTGTGTCGATGAACCAGGCAATGAAAGTCTGGAACTCGAGAGCGTGAGCCACCAGCGTGGAGGCTTGAACCTCGGGAGGTCCGCGGAACTTCTCGATTTCAGCGTCAGTGTACCAGCTGGAGCCTGGATAGTCGCGGGAGTTAATCAGGACGATGCGAAGGTTGCTCGCGCCCGCGTATGGGAATAGGCGTCTGAAGACAGCTAGTGAACGCAGAGTGAGACAAAGGAACTCGGAGTCGACGAAGAAAGAGAGCCTCACCGCCGTGGAATACGGCCCCATGTAGCATGATGATGGTCACATAGTCGCTGGACGAGGGTGCACCACTGTCTTCATAGTAAAGCGCGGCTCCATCTTTGTTTACTGGGGCAGTCGGCATGATGTGGTCGATAGGCTGGATGGGGTGCTAATATGAGCTTTCCAACAAGTCTGGCCTTTGGGGGAACAAAAAAGGGCGTCAGAAGAGTTCCGGATTCCCATATTTCCCCATTCGCGAGGATCCTGCGAGAATCCTACACAGCAGAATTTCGAAGATCGACCTCGCCGGCCCGCATATGGACACAAATGATTCACCTGTAATTGCACAGGCGTCAGCAATTACGCGTAAAATGACTGACAGAGGTTGACATACCTGCGAAGCTCGGACGTGATCCCATCACGGCTGTCGTGGTGTTGTACTAATAGACATTGACGAGAGTACATCACCTGCGCATGTCCATTGCCTCGCAAATATAGAAAAGACGCTCCATACTACACGCTGCACAAGCGCAGTTTACAGACTCTCGATGTTAGCAAATACCTTTCTTGGCACAAAATTGCGCGTTTTAAAGCTACTACAATTACATGTTGATACATCCTTCACGTTTGTCTGCAACCTCATAATATCAATACAATTCCCTGTGCATACCAGTGGCAATCGCTCGTAAGTTTCAAAGAAACTATGAGGTGATCAATATAATTTACCGCATGCGCCCTACGAAAATATCATTAATTCCCAGGTGCACCAGTGGTCTCCATGCCACGCGGCATGCGAGCGCCCGCAGGAGGAGGGTTCTTGTCGCGGAATTCACGAGCCATGTGTTCCATGCGCACCCAATGAACGTTTTCATGCGTGTTCACCCACTCTATGAATCGTTCCTAAAGTAGTGCAATATTAAAGGAGGCAAGATCCAACACATTGTAGCAAGCAGCGCCCGCAATACAGACAGTTAGCCTGGAAATACATATTGAAGCAGAACATGGCGTACCAGCATGAGTAGGACATGCGGACGGCTGAACCCAGGTTCAGTTCAGCAGATTCTGGTCAGCGTATAACTTTTGTTTCGCTCACCCGCTGACATCAGGATGGATCGTTATGGGGAAGACAAAGTCTTCCTCCTCCCTGAATATGCATATTGAGTAAGTCAGCAGCACGGTATGATATGGAATGTCAATACGGATCAGGACACATACCTGTACAGGTATGTGAACATGTCTTTCCAAAGCTGTTCGACATCCCTCGAATTGACCTTCGCAGTCAGAATGAATATCGGATGCCTGCCCACCGGTAACCGAGATGAGTGCTTACCCAGCCGTGGGAGTTGGGGCTTGACTTGATGAACATCATGGGCGGCAGATCATCAAGATACCTGCAAGATCGAGCATCCCATGCGCGTAGCAGTTACCCAATGCGATGCAATTATGAGTTACTGGCACAATGAATGAACAGCGTACGCGAACATACCAGTTTGCGGGGAGCTCTACAAGCCCTGTAATATTCCCGCGCTGGAGCGGCTTCATCCATGTGTGAGCCGCGGCATTGTAATCAATCTTCGTCCAAGTGTCCTGGTCGCGAAGATAATACGCCTGTGAACTACACGGACCACCAACCATGAACGTCATCATATCATGGCAGAATGAAGATGCGCACTCGTGTGCCATATTCGAGTGATCTGCGATCATTAAATGAGATCGATCATAACGTCCACGGCGCATATATAGAGCGGGGCTGCTAACCGTATTCAATGCCCTTGTCCAGAAGCAGCTGCGTGCCTTCGCTGCTTGTCTCCCACCATGGAGCGACGCTCCCCTTGGGGGGAATGCCGTTGTTGAAAGCCGTAAGTAGATTGTATGTATGGTCGAGGATGTCCTTCTGCTGCTCTAGAGTCATAGAAACGGGATTCTGGCACAAGAATCAGCAGATAAGCACCCGAAACAATGCAGTGAATGTGCCTCATGTGAGTAGCCATGCAACCCTCTAGTATCAGCGGGTTTGAGTGATATATTTGCAGGCAGAATGTAGACTTGAAACGCACATCTCATGACCCGCATCTCGGACGGCAGCCATTTGCTCAGGGAAGGTCTCCAGACTGTGTCCTGCGCGAATATCCAACTGAGTTGCTGACATTGCGAATTACGACTAAACGCATACCAGGAATGAACCATGTCGTTTTGATGTCGTACTTCTTGAACAGCTTGAGTAGACGAGGGACGCCCACTTCGCCCGAGTACAGACCCTAGATGGTCCAAACGATAAGGGAGCATTGTTAATCCTAGACGTGTATGCTACAAACCCTAGAGATGTCCAGCGGGGAATCCTCCCCTCCGTACGACCCAAGCCTGGAGAGATTTCGATTAATGGTCGTCGAGATCAGGTACGATCCGCCACGCTTCGAAGCACAGCATGATGCAGTAAGTAATGTACGTACCACCCGGCAACCGCGTCAACGTCCACACCAAACCCGATTAATACTCTGCGCGGCATCGTGACGGCTGAAGTCGCTCGAGCAGACAGGTGGAAAGGAGCGCGGGGGCAGTTTCAAAGGGCCATCCCAGTGGAAAATGGCATAGATAAGGCATTGGGTGAGACGTGGAGTCTGCGAAATATATCAGAGTTTCCGTCGGAGAGCCATCTGCTCAGGCCTCGGCGAGCTCACTTATCGCACTGGGCGTGATGTTCGCGGAAGCTGAGCAGCAGCAATTCGGGTTACACGCTGGTTTCAGGACGACAGCGGGTCGCGATAAGCCTGGCCAGGAACATGCGAGCGGACGAGTTCGAACCCGAGGTCGACGTTGGGCGACGCGTCGGGCGCGCGAAATTGTGGCCACCGCCTCTTTGCGACCGACTCTGACTGATTTTGCCTCCGCTTCGTCTTGGTTGACCTCTGCCAGGGACAAGGTCATGAACGTTCGGGAGTACTTGATCGACATTACCACTGCAGCTATCTGCGTTTGGAGCCATGAGAACATTCCCACTGCTGACAACTGATAACAGCGGCGAGACACTAGCTGGCTGTCATATGCTGCTGGTGCTCCGGAGCAGGCGGACATCATTACTGCACACGACCCGCCCCATCTTCTGGGCAATCCAACAGTGATCCCTTGGCTATCTCTGGATTTATACTACCCAAAATGTTCGCAGCGCCCAGCTCTGTCATCTCCACCACGTTCTCCCTCCTTCCCTTGAACTCTGCCGCCAACTATGGCCGAGTCCGCGAAGAACGAGAAGGACTTCACCACCGCCACGACCACCCCCGTCTTGAGCGATCATTCAACCTTATCCGACCTGCGCCATGCCGACGACGCCCTCCTCGCAAAGCTCGGCTACAGGGCTGAGTTCAAGCGCGAGTTCTCCGTCAGTCGTGCCTACTTCTCTCACTTCACGAACTCATCTAACCTTTCAATCATGCCGTAGCTGCTAGAGACGATTGCTTTCGCCTTTTCCATCATGGGGGTGATCGCATCGGTATCGTCCACCTTCTCGTTCCCACTTGTATCAGGTGCGTACCGCATATCCTGTCTGCCCGCATCGCGTCCAATATCCCCGGAAACAGGTGGTCACGTCGGCATGATCTTTGGGTGGTTGATCCCATGTCTCTTCGTCCTCACAGTGGCCGCCTCCATGGCCGAGCTGGCCTCGTCCATGCCGTGAGTCTCGTCTCCATCTAGTCAGACATTAGGCCAGATGTGCACCGCTCAGGCCTGGTTTGCAAGGACGAGTGCCGGACTGTATTATTTCTCTGCTAAACTTGCCCCACCAAAGTATTCTGCCCTCGCGAGCTGGATCACCGGCTGGGCGAACATCACTGGCCAGGTGACACTTGTCTGTTCCATCGACTTCACCTGGTACGTCACTGGGCTTCTGGCTGGGAAGGTTCGGCCTCGATTAACTCTGCTTGGCTCGGCAGCGCGCAGATGATTACGAGCGCGATATCTGTAGGCTCCGATGGCGCTATAAACTTGGGCACAGGCCCTACCTACGGTATCCTTCTCGCCATCCTCTTCACACACGGCATTGTGTGCTCCGCTGCGACTAATATCCTTGCACGACTGAACCTATTCTATGTGATCGTGAATCGTGAGTGGAACTTGGTTTAAGCGTAGTATCGCCTTCTGACGTCCCCCCTTCCAGTCGGGACGTCTATCGCAGCGATTATTGCTCTACTTGTATGCTCTGGAGATAACAGAGTCTCGACCAAAGATGCCTTTACAATGTTCGAGAACAACACGGGGTGGTCTGACAGTGCGCAACCATCCACTTTTGCCACTATATGCGCTATACCTGACGTTTTGCAGGCGGCTGGGCATTTTTGCTCGCGTTCACCGCACCGATGTGGACCCTGACTGGCTGTGAGTGGCATGGTTCCTCGCTCGTCGTGCCATGCTGATCTTTGAATGCGATAAATGCAGATGATTCCGCAGCGCACATCTCAGAGGAGACGGCAGGAGCAGCTCGAGCAGCACCCATTGCTATCCTCATCGCCGTCAGCGCCACCGCATCCCTGGGATGGCTCCTGCTCATCGCTGCGTCCTTCGCGACTGCATCCGTGCCGACGCTCCTCGAGACGACGCTTCCACTGCCGATGGCCCAGCTGTTCTATGACGTGTTGGGCAAGCACGGAATGCTTGCGATATGGAGCTTCATTATCGTCGTTCAGTACGTGACTGGAGCGGCGCAGGGAGTTGACGCCTCCCGAGTGGTGTTTGCGTTTGCCCGGGACAACGCGCTCCCCGGCTCGCGCTGGTGGAAGCGCATGAACCCGCACACGCAGACCCCGGTCAATGCCGCGTGGCTCGTCATGGTGCTCGCAGGGATCTGCGGTCTCCTCGGCTTCTCGGCCACGGCGCTGTCGTCCCTTGCCGGGTGCGTCTCTTCGATCCCGACCGTGCGTGGCTCTTTTCTGACCTCGTGCAGAGCATCTGTCATTGGTTTGTACACGTCCTACGTGACCCCAATTTTCCTTCGCATCACGTCGGGGCGCAACAAACTCGTCCCGGGGCCTTTTTCTCTCGGAAAGTGGTACATGCCGATAGGTGCCATCGCCTGTGCGTGGGTGGCATTCATCGTCGTACTGCTGCTCTTCCCATCATATCAGTACCCGACGGCCGCGACGATGAGTACGTCCAAATGCTTAATACCGCTTACTGATGAGCCACATCTCACGTTGCGCCTGCAGATTATGCCGTCGTGATCATCATGGCCGTCTTCGTGTTCGCGTCGGCGTCGTGGATCCTGTCTGCACACAAGTGGTTCATAGGTCCCATCAAGAACGTAGACGACAGCGCGACGACGACGTTCGAGGAGAAGCAGCAGAGTTCGTAGTTCGGCTTCGATGCAGATTAGAACACTTGCACGGAAAAAAGATGCTTCATTTTGAACATGCTTGAGAAAACAATGGGCGGCGTCGGCCGCTGACAACACGAAAGTAGGTTTCATGACGCTGAGTTGGCCATAAGATCTTCACCTCAAATCGGAAGAGCCGACACTTGCCAATACGGCTGCCTCCCGGTAGGCAGGAGAGGAGTCTAGACTCGCCTCAATGGCCGGTGGCATAGGCCAGCGCGCGATTGCTTCTACGGGTGGGGAACGGGCGCCGCAGGATCGGATGGAATGGACTGCCTCCAGAATCGCCTTGCTGTTCTCGCAGCGGGGGCAACTCCGGACTTGCAGACGCTCGTGTTTTTTTTTCCTGCGCGGCCTGATGACGTACTACCTAGCTTGAGGTCCTACGGGACGCTGGTCGGACTGTACCGTCTGCTCTGCCAATATCCTCCTGTTCCTCTTCCTCCTTCCAGGGACGTTTAGTTGATACTGGAATGATGCCACGACCAACCTGCTTATTTCGCACACTTGTAGTCTATAGACTCGCGCAGCGACGTATACCCGCAGCCGTCCAACACAAGTCGATTCGAGGTTTGCAAGGCTACAGTACTGATCAATATTATAGATGCTCCAGACTCGGCAGAAAAACTTTTATATCAAATCCGGAGAGCCAGATACACTATTTCCAGGACCTTATGTCCAGGTACGAGAACACGCTTCCAGGTGAGTGCTGAGCGTATGCGCCCCAAAAACGAAGTCTCGTACTACCCAAACGTGTGTACGTGGTCACAGAAATTTAGCTAGAAGCCTTTGAGGTAGCTTGCCTCGTCGGCGACCTTAAAATCTTGCACCTGCTCTACCTCGACTGTCTTCATGATATGGATAGTAGCCGACCCAGGTTCAGCACTGAAGTCCGAGCCTCCACCGGGACGATGATCCTGGAAGTTCTG